TATATATATATATATATATATATATATATATATATATATATATATTGGATGGGTACCACACGTTAACGATGACTCTGTTAGTCTAATAAACATAATCATAGCAACTGTTGACCAACAACTCAGCAGAGTGCTGTACATCACACAACAGATTCCATCTTATTCACAGCACAGATCGATTGTGTGGAGAATGTAGCCCATTAGACGCTTATTCTTTTTCCCATTTAAATAGCTTCCGATCCTGCTGCATTCGATGCACAACCAGTGATTGATTTCTCAAACATGCAAGTCATCTCCTGAAATTTTTGGATCTGCTTACGAAGCGTCTCGGCCTTGGCGTCGAGGACTGCAACTCGTTCAGCCTCTGCGGTCCGTTCTTTTTGCACACGCATAGCCCGCGCGATTGCGGCCGCCCGATCGTTCTCCAAGGTGCGCATCTGACGAACCCGACGTTCCTTGTCTGCGGTAGCCTTTTCATAGATTTCTTTTGTCTTATCAAGATTCTCTTTGATATCGACGAAGCGCTGGTTGTAGACGTCTACTTGTTGCTTTACCTCTTGGTGCTCTTGTCGCACCTTCTCAAGTTGGGCGCTCTGCTCCTCCAACTCTGTTTTAACCTGTTGAATATACGAAGGAGCGTCATTTTGCTTCATCTGTATTTTATCCACTTCTTCACCAAGGTAAGAAATCATCTTCTCGTACTGGCTCTTGATATCCGGTAGGCGGCTTTCAAACAGCTCCTTCTTCTGAGCTAGGCTACTCCCCCTTTCCATTTCCGCCGCCAGCTGCTGTCCGATCTCACTTTCCACCTCCGTAACGCGTACAATGTGAGCCTGGAGCTCGGCTGAGATATCTTCACGCGCTAACTTGTCCTCTAGCTGTGCTTGATTATACTCCTTCTCGAGGTCCGACTTCACACTCTCCAACTCCTCCTGAAGCTTGGTGAGATTTTCTACCAGCTTTTTTTCTTTTTCTAAACTACCTTTTAGGCTGGTGACCCGTCGTTCTAAAGTGCTAATCTGTTCCACATCAGCCTTGATCGACTCCTCAAGGTTATGCGATCTGAGCTTCTCTACAAACAGACGAGCTGCTAGTACGCTCATAAGGATAAATTCAAATGGTAAAGTTTAGTGGGCTTAAAAACTCAAACAGTCTGCGTTACTTCCTTGAATAGGATTAACGTTAAAGCTCTTCAGTAGACAATGAGATTCAAGGAGAACAATAGGTGCAAAGGCACAGCACAGTCAGAGAAGTCCAAAGAGAACTCTCGATAAATAAGTAATACTATTCGTTATTTGCTCATGTTTTTTATCCTCACAAAGCTATTTGTGAGTGCCAAAGATATACAAGACACCATAGAACTCGGTATCTTAAAACCTGGATTTAAAAAAGGTGCAAGTTCAGATTAAATGCGCTCCAATATATATATATATATATATATATATATATAATAAGAATAAAATGGATAGTATTTTGATGTATTATAATGCAACTATAGTTTCACTAGAGGGATGTTTGCTTATTTTAAAACACATCAATTCAACACCTTTAAGAATAAATGGAAAATACTGGAGGATGCGATCTTTGAAAACAATACACCATAAGGAAAGGGGTTTTATTGTGATAGAATAAGGAATGATTTAAGCTTCAATATTGCACTTTTCGCATCGCACATTTGAAATCAACGTAGCAACCAAAATCGTATTCATCGCCTGCTCCACACTAGAGGAACTCTTGAAGGCACTTTTAATCAAAAGTAAAGGAGAGCGTCTCACCCGGATACCACAAAGCATAAAGCAGGAATGACTAATACTTGTGGAACCGTTTACGAGAAAAGCAGCTCAATTGATGTCAAAACATCACACAAACGGTGACAAAGACCCCCTGATGGGACAGTAAACATCTCAACGCGATAAGTGCCAGCCTAAAAGAGTTCAGAAGCGCTTCAGACATATGATAAGGATTGCACGGTATGAACAACAAAATCGTAAATGAAAACAAAAGCAGATCATAATGATGTGCTGTAAAAAGAGGGACACTGGTGATCAAAATTCTCTTTCAAACGGATATCCTTTTTGTTTCGTAGATTGGTCAACCGTGGATCCGAGTTGTTGGAGCATGAAATCAATCTGGTCACGCGTATTCCATCCCCAAAGAGGTGCTAGAGGCTTTTCAAAGGCACGTTGGAGAAGTGGCTTGTCACCTTCTATTCGCGATGTTATGAGTATAAGTACCATGCCGATGGCAACTCTCTAGAGCCACGACGTAAGCTAAAGGCATGTATATGTATACATATGTCTTCTTGGTAAGATTTTTTATGCCTATTTTTACTCCCTTATATAGCTTTCTATACTCTAACAGTCTCAATCGAAATGAGTTAAAGGATAAGTATAATTAACCAAACAACAAGCGCATTCTTCAAAAAAAAAGCCAATTATATGGAATTCAAGACGGGAGTTAAGTGTAGCCAATGGGCTTTCTGCTGTGCACCTAAAATGTTCGAAACAACAACGTGTGTAAAGAAATCGAATAAACTTATCGTAAAGTTTTTAGCTATAGAAAAAAAATAGATGCATGGATCATGTGCCTATGCAAATGATTTCCATCTTCGACAAGGACTCGTGCTTTCAGTTCTGCAAATCGCTCTCGACAAACCGTCTGAAACTCGATCCAACGCGGTGAGAAATTTCTGACATCGGCAGGGATACCACCTTGGACGGCACTGTAGCATCGAACATATACAACCTAATCTCGCCACCGTACCGCGTGCGCACATCCTTGGCGACCCGCTGCAGCATATTATCACACACACCGCACGGGAAAAGCGGGTTCACATGCTCACTCGAGCCATGCACGAAGAGCTCCCGGACGGACCAGGTGGGCACTCCCAGTGAGGCTAGCTTCCCCATTGCGTTCTGCTCGGAACAGCGGGAGCCACTCGGGGTGCTGAGCTCGTAGTTCACCCCCACCTCCCAGCGCCGCGCGCATGTGCACCACGACCGCTCCGGGAGGCCGATCGCCGCCCCCGGGGGGATCGACGGGAGGGCGGGGAACGCATTATCATCGTCCTCATCCCCCCCACGCAAGGGGCTGCCCGGCGGGAGCAGCCCACATTGGCAACCCCTCACGTCCACGTACGTCAGGATGGACGTCACGACCGTCCGGTGGGGGTTGTGTTTGCGCCAACTGCAGTGTGCGTGCAGCGCGCGGAAGCCGTTGATAATGTCGGTGACCCTCACCAAAAAGGAGTCCGCCGGCTCCTTGGAGAGACGGGTGACTTTGTACTTTTCGTCGAAGTCAAACCGGGCCCGGATGATCTCACATGTGTTTAGCACGTGGGGCAACCAGTGGAAGTGGTAAAAAAGGGTCTGAGGCATCTTAAGCAGGTCCCCCACCCTCTGTACCCCGTCCGGCAGTTGGATGGGTGGTTTGATGCGCGGGAAGGTCATTAGGACGTCCTTCAAGAAGGCCTTGGTGTCGAAGTTGCGGAGTTGGCTCGTGACTAAAATGGCCTCGGCCCAGCGCGACGGGATGCTGGCGAGGAGAGATTCGAATGCCGAGTCCCCAAGAATCTGCAAGTCGCCGACATTCTCGACTCCTCTTTCCGACAAGAAATCAAAAAAGTCGTTCTGCTCCTCTTTGGACATGAAATTAAGTGAATTAGACTCTACCCACTTCCTTAAGGGAGTGTCGGCATTATGCACTGCAGCAGACGTAACGTCTATGTTGGCGTGAATGTAGAGGCAATAGCAGCCATGCTTGCAATTCAAGTTGAAGCGACAAAGAGTGGGTACCACTGCCTGCACGGCCTCCACCTCCAGCAAGCCGAGCGCAAAAAAGTACCCCGCCGTGGGAATGATATTGCTATGGGAAAGTCGAATATTTCGCCCGCGCATGCACACCGTCAAGGGGATAGGTTCCAGAGTATCCACCTGTAACCTCCATCTGTCTGGTATAACATGTGGGCGTTCACAACTACAACCCATTTGATCACACAAACTAAAACAACAACTTATCTTGCTATGGGATAAGGTGCGCATGAAGGATGGAGGCAACACATCTTTTTTTTTATACATGATAAAAGAAATTCCATCACAGAGCGCCCTAGCCTTTACGGAGTAACTCTCGTCGGAGTCGGTTAGTCCAACATCCCGCGAATTGCCGGGTGGGGGGGAGAATGAAGAAGCCATGTCATTGGCTAACGAAATTGCCTCACTATGTGATTGATGGTCTTGAACATCTGCAGCTAATATAACATAGGATCGCGCTGCAATGGCATCTTTTACTGGCAATAAGCCTTGGTAGAACTGCACATCCAACCAAAGATCATTTTTCGTATGATTAATCGCCTTAGTCTTCATTTTAAATGGATAAAAAAAACAGAAAATTTTTTTTTTTGATAAAAACTAACAAGTTATTGGTATCTACAACAAAATAGTCAACGGATAAAAAGGAGTTCACTGTTAAAAGAGCAGACATATCTATATGCATATACAATCAAAAAAAAAGATTACATAAAACTACACCAACGTAGAAGACTAAAATTGTTTTCCTTTACCACTTCACAAGGGATGGGTGGTGGACCTGACTCTCATAGGAGAGAAGGGAATTTTGCTGAAACACGTTTAGCACTAGTTTTATAACACTCAACCACATACATTTGCATGCCCTGCTCGAAGCAAAGCAAAACAATAGAATGACATTTCCCATCAATACGTAGAAGCAATGGATGGCCAACAATGTAATGGAGAACACAGGCACATTCAAATTTAATAATAATAATAATAATAATATACAAATCACTCCATTGAAACGCGTTTATGTATCTCAATAAATTTTCTTCATTCAAAGAGCTTCACTAACTGAAACTCCCTCATAATCATAATCCGCATTCAATGTAAACGGGTGCACACAGTCATCAGGTTCAACGATGATGCCTTTTAGCCTCTCATGCCACTTTTCTGACAACACACACGATGAAAATTCGACCTTCCTCATCCCCGCAACCCCGCCCACGTTGTCCACCACGCGGCTCTCGTCTTTGGTCAGTCCAGGGAGAAGAAGATCAAGGTTATCCTCGCTCTCGCATCGTGAGACACAGCCATCTTGGGAATTCAAAGATGTGTCGTCCAATTTAGTATCCATTGCAGCCTCCGTGTGACACTCTTCACTAAATCGTAACGTCTCGGAGACTAAAGCACACATGCTAGGATAAAAATTGCGCGAAGCTCCAGAGACGACCTCTTCCTCGCTTTCCACGGCGAGAAAGTCATCTAGGGAAGGCAACGACGACTGTGGAGATTTGCTCAGCTTCATCCCCTCGATCAACTCAGTGCGTACGACTTGATCTCTAGTGTTAGCAGAGTTACAGTCGTTAAAGAAGTTGTCAAATGTCGTCGGGTACATCATGGCATCGGTGCTTGAGAAACACAAGGCGAGATTTCCAGCATTGATGTCTTCAACTCCATCGAGATCGATGCACTCGATGCTGTCATTCGCTATCATCTGCTTTCCGGCTTCGACGTCGCTAACTTCATCATTAGCACAGCAAAGCAACTCATGGGAGGCATCCATGTCAGTAGATCGCATGATATTAAAAACATTCGTTTCCAGAAAAATGCTGCGTTCCTTTGGATCTCGTAATTCCTTCGAAATACTTTCCGTGTTCAGCACACAGACATTACCACAGTGCCCAGTATTGTTAGCCATACTCCCACAACCATCTGTAAGCACACTCGCACACAGGATTTCGTCAACTAAGGAAGCCTTTCTAGCTTTCGTCAAGGTGGTGAATCGGCTTACAAACTCATTCGGACCTTCTTCTGTATTGTTAATAAATATGTCAAGGGTTCTCATCTCGGTATCTAAAGAGCTAGAAAATCCCATCATATGAGCATCAGAATCTACTTAAAAATATCCGAAAAGACAAAAAAGGAAAAATGAGTCCTCCTACGCCAAGTCGAATCGCAGAGAACATCTTCCATAGATCAACCAGCTACAGATGGAGTGAAGAGAGAAGAAGGCAAAAATAGTGACTGGATAGTCCTTTGAAGAAAAAAAAAATCTGTCGTCCCCTTAATAACTTACAAATTAAAAAAGGATGCTTTACTAAGAGCATTTTTATCATATAGGCAGTAGTAACAAAACAATTTTTACCCCGTAATAAAAAAGTCGATTAAGAAAAAAGATAATAAAAAGAGAGGGATACCTTAAGTTCTTGAAAATTTTCCATTTTGTGACGTGTGAAAAAACAAGGTCATTTTTTTTACAAAATGAACTATCATCGCCTATTTCCCTTTAGTGTTAAATGGAAAATTTTTCTTTCAGTCTTTTCTCCAAATCCTGCACAGTTCTGATCTTGTATATCATAGTACACTTTTAACCTTTCTAGTCAAAAATTAGCATTCCGCTCTCATTTATTTATCATCATAATCGAAAAAGTTAATTCAAAGAGATAATTTGAAAGCAAATAAACCATCGTATTATTCTTCAGTTAACTCCTAATTGCATATAAAAAAGTAACTCGACTAAAACAAAATTTTATAAAAATGCTAATCCCAGGGCCAAAATCAGCTACTGACTATGACCCTAAAATATTGAATTAGATATAGAAAAGTTCTTTTTTTATAATGTCAAACGCATGATCATACTACGTGTATATAGCATAAATGTAAGAAGATATAAATGCATATAGATGAAAAAAGTAAATAATTACATATATGTGTATATATACATCTATTTTCATACTCGTGCGCAGCTGAGATAGATAAAAACTGAAGATGGGATTTTTTTTATTGATATCGGCTGCATTTGCAAATGAAAAAAAGAAGTAATAAAACAAACTTGCATCAGAGAATGGAGCTGTGGGATGAGACCATCCGTTGTAAATGTTTTTTTTTTGGTTTCTGGGGATGGGGCGCTTTGTTATTTGGTAGTAACAAAAACAACGTTTAGTCCCTGAATTGCTGGAACTTGAATCGCAATGCTTGTTGAAAGCAATTGCTTGAGTGAATACGCATACAATCGTTCATTTCATGTAGGTAAATAATGGAGATGCGCAAAGAAGTACGTATTTTGTTAAGAAAATCAGAGTATCTGTCGATTAGGAAAAGTAAATTTCCGTTCAGGACTAATATTTCTTAGATATACGCATAATACAGGAGTGGAATTAAAAAAAACACCGTAATATAAATTCATTTTCATTCCAATTGATATGCATTAGCATGTCATCCAATAGAGCATTTCTTAGTTTCTAAAGGGAAAAATGCTTTGGACTAGGTGTGCCACTCAGAAAAAGAACCAAGATGTGTTAGATCAAACAAAAATATTGGATTCTTAACAAAGTATAATGCAAAAATAAGATAAACAGAAATTAAAATCCAATAAAAACATAAATTTAGATAAAGCTGTTGACAATAAGAATTGGAAACGAATCAGCAACCCATAACAAAAAATCATTCAACTCCAATTCCTTTAGAATTTTTGATCCTTACCAATGACAAAGTCAGAAATAAATGTGCTTTGTAAGTACATAGCATAACTAAAAGAGTACAGATCGGCAATAGGGCTACACTACGGGAGAGGAAGAAGATAAAACGACGGTGCTACTTTAATCCTAACCTCTTCCTAGTGAGAGCCTGTTAACGGATGCAAGTAAATAATTATGAAACAAGAAAAGGAAAAATAAAAATAAAGAAAAGGTAGGGGAATTAAAAACCATAAATTAATGAAGTCTGAAATTTATATTTGAGAAATATGTTTTTGCCTCACTTTGCATACCTTTGTAGATAACCCTGTAAGTGAAGGGCCTAATAACTTAACGGAAGTCACCCAGATAAAATAGCAAAAAGAGTGTGAGAATGTTTTTTTTTTTACGGGATATGGTGAAACAGAGGGCCCCCGACTTCCCGAATCAATGATCGCCGCGGCTCTCGAGGTACTTCAACATCATCTGCGGTCGATCCGTCTGCAGGACGCCGGCACCGAGGACATCGATGACAAAGCCCCACGTCGCGTCTTGGTCTTTGAGGGCGCGATCGTCGTTGTGGCCACCACAGGTGGTGGGCCAAATTGTGTTGATCCAAAGGGATCCACCCGTCTGTGTGGCCAGCTTCTTGATGAGGAGAAGTTTCTCCAGGTCTTCTTCTTCGAAGTTGATTTCGTACAACTGGTGATGTGGCGCGAAGAGGCTCCGCAAATCCTCCGGCTTTGTTTTCTTGCTCAGGTTGAAGACTGGCATGAAGACGACCTTTTCCATCAGATCGCCCCACTTCTCAATCATCTTTTCGTAGGTAGACTCAGATTTAAGAATGGTCTGCGATACCATCCCCGTTTTTTCCAGCAGCTGGTACACCTCACCGAGGCATACATCCGCTTTGTCCAGATTGACGATGATACGATCCTTGGCGAGCAGTAGCACCTCCTCGACGGTCGGAATGGTGAAGTCCGTGATATTCCCCAACCCGTCTTTCAGGCGTAGAGCGCGAATTTCCTCCAAGGTGTGATCACAGATGCGGCCTTTTCCATTGCTTGTGCGATCAAGCGTCTCGTCATGCATAACAATGAGATGCCCATCCTTCGTGCGCCTAACATCAATCTCGACAATGTCGGCCCCCATGGCAATGCAGCTCTCCACCGCCTCCAGCGTATTCTCGACGTAATTCCGCCAATCCCCTCGATGACAGGCAATACGGACAGGATTGGCGGAGTCAGGTTGGCGCAAATCCAGCTGAAGACGCGGGCGAATCGGGATAACGGGGCCACGGTGAATCACATTGATGTTGGGGGTATTGCAGACTGTCTGGTCAATGACTACCATCTGTTCAAAACTCTCTTAGATTTCTTCTTTTTCTTTTTTGAAATACGTGAGATCGTGAGTGATGAAGCCTGGATCAAAAAAATGAAATATTAGAAAAAAACTTCGAGATAGAATCAAACATCTAAAATATAGAGTTGTGAAATATATAAAGGAGAAAAGTAATATGATAGGTAATCATATAAGACAATACATACTGGATCCAATAGTGGATGCTTTTAGTTATCAAGGAGAAGTGTACTTGTGGATAAATAGTAAAATGTACATATATAATTCTGAGATGTTCATTTTAATTCTAGATGCAATTGAGGAAGTCCTCTTTCTTAAAGCAGAGAGTCTTCTCTGGACACTAATGCATAACGCTGTCCTCTAGAAAGAAAGAATTAGGAAACGATAAAAAAAAAATTGGAAAACATCAAGGATTATGAACATGAATCTACAAGGATACAGCGTTTATAACCTTTCGCTCTATATGAAACCATATAGAGAAGAATATTAAGCGCATATGACCTCACTCACTATCATATAAACCTTTATCTAAATACGTACATATACTATAAAGGGCTCATCAATAAAAAGTTCTTCCTCAATAGGATTACGCGGGGAAGTTAAACAGACGAAATGAACTAGGGCATTGCGTACAAACATGAAAAATTCTTAAGAAAATTACATAAAAAGCGACTCCTTACATTGATTCCATTTAACTGGACTTAACACTGAACATGGCTACAAGTACGATCTTATCAAAATTGCTGCACTATTTCGGAAAAAATAGTCCGAAAATGTCACAAATAGGCTGCTAAGACCCCAATCCAGACGCATAACAACATAAAATATATAATTTATTCGTGCTTATCCACCACGTTGTGATTGAAACATGTAACTTTAACGAAAGCTTATTCGTACATTTTCGATAACCCCTACTTCAATAGCTCAGGACCAGGTTAAGGAAGCATTCTTAGATAAACTATGAATGAGCCTGCGAATTTTTAATAATAAGTTAATAAAATGGTAAATAACATAAAATTATGATTTCCAGGTGTTTTGATGTTTCAAGAGCAGAGGCCCCAATAGCATGAAGAAAAGCCCATCAAAGCCAATGCGACTAAAAGTTGCATTATCATCATTCCTTCTGCTCAGGTTTTAAAAACGGACTAGAAACAATCGATGAGGACATGCTACCCGACCGATCATCCTCTACATACTCATAATCTGATACATACTCATAGCTACCCTCGGCATCGAGCGCGGGGCCCTCCTCGTTCGTGTAGTAGCTCTCATACTCATCAGTGGAGGATGCGGTCTCCTCCAGGAAAGGGTCCTGGTCGAGGATGGAGTGGCAAGAAGGCTCCCGCCGCTTCTCCTCCGGGTCGTGGGAAGTTGACCGGGGCGGCTCCATCTCTTCCTCCTCCGCCTCCACCACCGGCCCTTCCAACGCGAGGGGTGAGCCATAAGGTGCCCCGATGCGGCCGATCGTGCTCGCGTACCCCTCCTCCTCCCCCTCATCTTTGCCCACCCCCCTGTCAGACCACTGGTTAGAATAGAGATCGCGTCCGATGGCGGTGGACTTGGTGCCTAGGACGGAGACCTCCCTCTCGTCCGGTGGGATCCACTGCTTGTTTGCGCGCTTCTCCGCCGCGACGCTCCGGGAGACACGTGAAAGCAGCACGATCATCGTGATGACTAGACAGACGAGGATATACCCGAGCGTCGCATAGACTGGAATGAGGGCAAGGAAAAAGGAAAATAAGTGGTCCTCTCGCTCGAGGAACACCGCTACAAAATATAAGGAGATGAGTAAGATGCCATTACTAAAAAATGAACCTATGACATCGAACGCGACACCAGACTTGTTTCGGACGCACATTGAGTACCGCATTAGACTACGTAACAAAGCCTCCAGCACGCGAATGCCGGCGCGGAAGCAGAAGGGAATAAAAACTATATACCACGAGGACTCGATTTTTCTATCTAGCTTCTTCCCTAACAGGACCCATTGCGCGATGCCACAGCCCATGTTAAGGAAGGCCATTAGAAAAATGCCGTAGCAAATTGATGACCTCCTTTTGTTGTCATTGATTTGCATCTGGAGGCGAATGCGCTGGGGCCAACGCCAAATCAATGATGTCAAATAGTACAAGACATCACCTAAGATAGGCATGCTCATGTACATCATGTAATGTCCAACCCCTTTATCATATTCGTTCGATACGGCAGAGCCTATCACGAAGGGTAAGCAAGAATAGCACACCGATGCAAAGCAATTTCCAAACGGAGAAAGGCGATCGACAAGGCTCAAGCCCTCTTTGTAGGTTTTCGAGCTAAACAGGTTCACAAGAATAGAAATAAATGTGAAAAAACACATAACCAATCCGAAGACTTTGAGCGGAAGGATCACAATACTCCATTCGAAAGTGATGATATTCTCAACCTTTGCCCCGAGGAACACAAAGAAGATGCTGAGCAGTACTACCTGGATCAACATGGTGATACAGTACATGACGATGGAGCCGGTGGCGCCGAGGAATGAGATGAGTGGCCCCCACGCACCACTGACAATAAAGCCATACACATCCTCGCCAACGGCGTCGTATAAATGCTTTCGCGCACGGCTGTAAAGCACAAAATAGGCCTGCTGGTATTGATTACGCAGTGAGACCCTACGGAAGTACCACTTCACCTGTTTCGTAGTGACTGAATCATCAAGCTCAAGAAGAGAATAAAGACGCCAATTACGCTTGTTTGGTGGATACAGACACATGTTGTAAGAGAATAACTCTCCCACTAAATGTTGAACCTTAGCTTTTGTAAAGCCCACGCTTTGAAAAAAGGAAAAGACAGAGACTTGATAACCGACAATATCGGAGTTTGATATATATATATATATATATATATATATATGTTCTTATTTTAAGAAAGACGATACGAAAGAAAGATGAAGAGATCCTAATACATA